CAATAATCCAACTCCAACAAATGTAATTTATAGCTAGCCTAAAATTAGAGTAAAAAGATTCATAGACAAAATATTTGTTTGAGCAGTGTTTTTGTTCCCAATTGTTGAAAAAACCCAGTTATTCCCTTTTTTAGAGCAGCTATTGAGACACAAGCCCCTAACAAATTCGCAGGTTTATAAGAGCAACTCTAGCAGATCCTGTATAATCTGGTATTGTAAAATCATTTTAGGATTACCCCTAAAACAATTTTGTTCGTAATGCAAATTCAACACAACTAGAGTTCATACATATCGAAAACATAGATCAAACTACAAATTAAACTTCGGGGAGACTGGCTCAACCATTGATGCCGAGATAGAACTTCTTCACCGACTTGCAGCACACGTGGGCATACGCGTGATCCTCCTTTGCGGCGACAAGCCTGTCGGCGACACCTTCTTCTTGAAGCTGGAGCTAGATGGAAGCCAAACGTTCTCTCTGATAGTGCTACAACTTCTGGATGAAACTGCTCCAAAGTGAATTGGGACTGCTCTGCTTCACCAAAATCAGTTTCACTCCACTAAATTCACTTTGGAGCAGTTTCATCCAGAAGTTGTATCACTACCATAGAGGGCTACATTTCGTGTTTTGACCCTTTTCCGATAGAAATTCAGGATCTGACCCCCATTTGAAATATTTTCGAGATTTGACCCTTTTGCTACCACCAGGGCCTCTGGCGATAGGGTTAGACAGCCTACCGCCAGGTGCCCTGGCGGTAGGGTGTGACGGAGGGGGACGGCGGTCGTTTTGCCTGCGCTAATGTGGATAAGTACCTTACCGCCAGGGTAACTGGCGGTAGCCTGTCTAACCCTACCACCAAGGACCCTGTCGGTAGGGTCCTGTGTTTTGCCGTGTAAAGTTTCTATAACGGTATATGCAATGGCCCTGGTGGTAGGTTCACCCTACCGCCATGGGGGATGGCGGTAGGATGTCTAACCCTACCGCCAGTGTGCCTGGCGGTAGGGTCCTCTGTTTTGTTGTTTCAAATTCATTTGGTTGCTTGTTTTCAAATTCAATATGACAGCAATATCACAACAAGTTTCACAAAATATGACTACAATATCATAGATTTTAAACAATTAAACTTGGGCATCACATAGATCCATATTAAGATAACTTGAAGTGCATAGAACATTTCAAACGAAATTCAACTAATCAGTAAACGAAGTTCCACATAGTAGCAAACACATAGATCCACAAATAGCAAACACATAGTTCCACGTAGTTTCACAACCACTAGACGAGTTCAACCAAACGAAGTTCAACCAAACTACAAGAGCCAACCATCGAAGAGCATAATCACTTGCTCCTTCCTCTCTTGGAGGTACGGTCCTCGTTGTTCTTTGAACGAAGCTCTTCAGTCTTCTTCTTGGGCCGTCGAGGAAGCAGTCACTGGAAAGGGTCCGGACTCAGCAAATCCTTCTTCTTCGGATTCCTCTTTGGCGGCAGCTGAGATGCTTGAGATGATTGAGTTGTTGGAGGTCCATAATCTTCATCGTACTCCTCCTCCTCATTGCTCTCATCCTCCTCCTCCTCCATTTCTTCATGTGTGGCCTCCTCCTCATCATCATCATCCTCAACCAACCTAGACGACGAGGGAGCATGGCTCGATGAGGCGATGTGACCCTGTGTGGCTACAAGCTGATAAGCTTTAACCGACCCAGCTCCAGCACACCCAAGCAGCCCTACCAGCTTGCGACAATGCTTCACGAACTTCTGCACTCACAATGAAACAAGGGCATAATAAGTATCAGGTTTATGATTTCAAGTGAAGAAGATGCATCTGTTCCGAGGAGGCTGAAATCGTACCTTCATCGTCCCCCTCATTTTGTTCTCAGATTGGACAGTCCCGGGGGCATCACCTAGTGCATCTGAGGCTTCAAAGATGCACCTGTTCAGCTCACCAGACTGCAACGGCATAAGCCAGTCACGTTGACGAATACAATAATTTAAATATAACCTCTCAGTTCAAACTTAGCACTCTGTTGATGAGGGGGGCAAACTCCCTAAATCCACTGTGCATGTCTCTGATGCCGGTCTGGTAGGCCTCTTCCTCGGGGTCATCCCTCTACAACTCCGTGATGTCTTCCGCCGTCCACCGAGGCCTGAGATGAAGACGGTGCTTCTGGCCATCATCGTACCACTTCATGTGTCGGTTCAGGTAAACATCCCAGTTAGTTACCTTCCTCTCCACGTCTTTCCGGTTCCTCCATCGGTTCCACTCTGTCACATGATTTTTATGCTCCTCTCCCCAGTCTGTGATCGACTGATTCTTCTGCCGGCTCATCCTGCAAGGCATTAGCAACAAGAAACATCATAACAAAGTCGAACACAATGAATTCATGGGCACACGAAGAACAAGCGCAGGCACTCACAAGTGGAGCGCATGGCCGCCGGTATCGGTGGGCTGGCCCGGTGGGGTATGTTGAAAAATCCCAAACTGCGTTGCCACGCGTTGTGGCAGGTGCCACTCGATAGCGTACACACATATCATGGGCACGATGCACCGCCAGAGACCACTGTCCTCATCGCACACTTTGTTCAGATCAAATCCCCACTCTCGGTCATGATACGGCCACCAGGTTACCTATTACATATACGGTGCTAAGTTGCCACTCTCGGTCAAAAGTGGAATCAAAGAGAAATGTGTTTAGCGAGTTCATATACCTGCGTATGCATCAAAGCGTCCAAATCGTTGGTGTAGGTCTTGTACGAAGTCTTGTTTAGACCCGTGTAGAGTTTGACAATGTCCCACTCGTAAGCTACGATGGGGTGTCGAGCCTCGTCGCCGTCTTCGCTATAGGCACCCCATGGGCGTCTTGGCAGCTTCTCAGGACGCCCCACTGGCAGATGCTCCCACATCCAAATGGAGAAGGCCCAGACAAAGCCACCCATATTGGACTTGTCTCCTGTCCTCTGTGTTGCGTCGTCAAGCTGCAAAAAATCAAATGAGGATCAGATACAACAAAATGTCATGGACATACTTTCGTAGGTAGGCAATTAGATACTCTCTTACCGAACGGTATGGGTAGGCGAGAGATGCGGTCCCCCAACTGTACCCTGCATCCCAGTCGGCTAGGAAGAACAGATAGTACCAGTTGGCAGAGTTCCCAGATGCGTCTGGAAACATGACCTCCATGAGAATATACCACAGGTAGGCCCTCGCGTACCACTCCACAGTCATCTCATCAGCGTCTTCGGGGCATGTCTTCCGGTGCTCCGAGAGCCAGGACAACGACACACCGGATGTTGGTTGCCCTTAGCATCGGGGCAGCCGCCGATGAGGGTGGTAACCCTCTGCTGCAAGGTTGGTCCTCTCCACTCGCCCGGTCAGTGCATGACCCTCGAGCGGCATGGCAGTGATCATCGACCAATCCTCGAGGGTCACCGTCATCTCCCCGCATGGGAGATGGAAAGAATGGGTCTCCGGTCGCCACCGGTCAATCAGAGCTGTCAGAGCTACGTGGACAAGCGTCGGCGGCTGACGCTTGAACTGCAAACGAAACCCAACAGCCAGGCTCTCTTGAAGAACGGCGCGTAGCGCTCGTCGTAGTCCATATGCCCATGAACCCCGTGACCCCTCATGCGCAGTGGCTGGAGCGTCTGTCAAAAAGTGAACGCCAAAATTAGGAAATTATTTTCATCAATCTCAAAACTTTGATCAATATTTCTTTCATATTACTTACCTCTCCGTTCTCTATGAAACGGGCACGATGACCCTTGTCGAATGCGTAGTCAAGCATGGAGTACCGTGGGCCGATGTTGTCCGCAAGAGGTGGCCGCCTTAATAAAAATTCATAAACAAAAACATCGTAAGCACGTCATATCAAAATCATATCACCATGCATCATATCACAAAAAAAATCAAATCATATCACCATGCATCATATCACCATGCATCATGTCACCATGATGGATCAAATCATATCAACATTACTCATATCAAAAAAAAATCCCTTCCCCTTTTTAATCATATCAACATGCATCAAAAAATTCTCCAACAATAATTTTCAATGTATTATCTCACAACAACATGTTCATATCATCATATCAACATGCATCATCACTCCAACATGCATCATATCATCATATTTTTAAACAAAAAATAATCCTCCAACATGCATCATATCATCATATTTGTAAAAAAAAATTCCTCCAACATCTTCATATCATCATATCAACATGCATCATCAACCTACAATCAATTCCTCCCACATGCATTACATATAATTTTTTTAACAAAAAAATTATGAACTAGGGTTCATCTTAACACTAACATATGAACTATTGATTATAGTTCATATTCATTACCACTACTTAGTAAAGAACTAAGAACTGGAACTAGAATCAAGCTAAAACAATATTAGGCCAAAAAAAATTTCAATCTAAGTTCAAAAAAATGATGGATTTGAAGCAAATAATGCGTCGAATCGGAAGCAAGTTTGCAAAAACTAATTGGATGGATCGGAGGAGCTTGCGATTCTCTCTTCGGGGCCATCTCGATCCGCCAAAACGGTGAAGAATTGGTGAAGATCCAAGGGGGGGAGTGGAGGAGATGAGAGAGGGAAAGAGGGACAACTTGGGGGAGAAAATGAGGAACTGCCGACCGGGAGGGGGGAGGGGGGGTAGATGGGCAGGGGCGCGGGGGTTTCGGGCGAAATAACTGCCCGGACCCTACCGCCAGAGCCCCTGGCGGTAGGGCCCTCGTCCGCCAGAGGCCTTGGCGGTAGGAAAAAGGGTCAAATCTCGAAAATATTTCAAACAGGGTTAGATCCTGAATTTCTATCGGAAAAGGGTCAAAACACGAAATTTAGCCACTATAGAGAATGAATGTTTGACTTTCATCTAGCTCCAGCTTAAAAAATGAGACAAGTTATTCCGTTTGGCTGGTGTTTTGTGGGGCGGAGCTAAATTTTAAGGCTTCGTTCGTCGACCGAACCAGATTCCTCATTCGCCTACCATGGAGACGCCGCCTCTACCACCTGCCCTGCCGTCCGTTCTCGCCCACCTGCGGTCCCTCCTCTCCGCCGCCTCTTCCGCTCTATCCTCCGTCCCTTCCCCACTCCTCGCCTGCTCCACCACCACGACGGCGACGATCGCCACCTCCTCCACACTCCCCGCACCTGCGCCCACCACCCCGCTCCCATCTCTCCCCTCTTCACCGACTTCCGAAATCCCCCTCCCCCTCCCGGCTGCGCCCGCCCCCTACCACGACTGCCCAGCCGTCGTCCGCACCACCAACCAACCGCCCGCCTCGTCCTCCCTCCCCGCCTTCCTCGCCGCCGAGTGTGCAGACTTCGCCTCCTCCACTGCCGCCCCAACCCTCTCCTCTCCTCCCCGCATCCTCCCGTCTGAGCTCTGCCTCCTACGTCGGGAGGTGGACTCCTGGGGCAGCCACCATCCCCCCGGGGCGTACTCCTACGCTGCGGCCCGCGTGGTGGAGGCACTGCGGCTAGGCGCCCTGCAGTGGGAAGTCGAGCTGCGGCGCTGGTTGCTCGCGAGCTCACCGAGATATGGTATCGTGATTGATGCGGCCAGTCGAGACCATATGTTTGTGCTGGTCAGGCTGTGTCTGAAGGCGGCGGCGGCGGAGGCAGGGTGCTCGCTGGAACGCCTGCCCAAGGGGGAGGGCGAGGAGTTTCGTCTTGATCCGAGGGCTGTGCGGTTCGAGTGCCCCAGACTGGTTGATGGTGTCTCGTGGTTGGCGATGCAGCTCGAGGTTTTGTATGGGAAGGGCAATGGCTGGTTCTTCGCGATTACGGCGGTGAAGGAGGCAATTCTTAGGTTGGGGTCTTGTTTGGCTGTCCTTGTTGGAGATGGTGTTGCTGGAGGCGCTAGTGAAAAAGGATGTGAGTTGAGAGATACCGGGACATCCCTTATTTTTGTTTCCCAGGTTGCTGCTGCCATTGCAGCCTTACATGAGAGGTTGTCCCTGGATAAGAAGATTAGGGCTCTGCAAGCACCACGCCCATCCAAATATCAGCTGTATGCTTCTTGAACCTTACTGTTACTTACTTAATCCAACAATGCAGATCAAGCAAATATGCTCATGCAGATCTTAATAAATAACGATGACACTGTTCAGTCCAAAACAAACTCTGACACTGCTCATGCAGATCTTGCTCAAGGAGCGTGTTGCACATAGATTGTAATTTGTGATGATGTTGAGTAATCATCATTGGAATGCATTTCCTCAGATTGTGATTAGTTAGTTAGTTTAGTTTGGTTTGGTAAGAAATTTCAACCATGACCAATACATTTGATTCTCGACAGGTTACTTGAATATTCACAAATACTGAAGCAAGGCTGTGATGAGCGTTCAAAGCGACCAAACTACAGAGCTGTTCTGGATTATGATGGAATTCTACCACGTCAAATGGATAACCAGGTAAAGTCATGCACTTCGTCAGAAGTACTTCTCTAGAATCCAGATACCATGCTGATATTTCTACATGCTCCATTGTTCTCTTGATTTACACTAACCTACTATTGACAAATTTTTTGTGAACATAATGTATGTGGAGTTTTCAATTTATGCTGCTTCATGCAGTAGCAGTGCTAGGCTTTTTCTTTTTCTTTTCTGAACCTTGATCTGTATGTATTCCCATGGATCGGAGGGAGTACTATTTTTCCATGCTTATTCTCTTTGTTTACTAATATTTATTAAATCAAGGTTTTGCCGAGTCATCGAAAAACATCAAAAAACATAATATGATTGGAACAAAGGAAAATGGTATGGATTTCGGAGATTTAATTCCTATAGGAAAACTTCCTACGGTGCTGTTCGGAATAAAGGAACGGCTCACAAAGATTCCTATGAAATCCCTATGAAATTGGGCAATTTACATGAAGTTTGGAGAAAAACAAACACGAGGTCTTGCCTCATGTTTTCTTCTCCTTGTGTCCAGATTTTCTGCATTTTTCCTTTTTGGTATCCAAATGGCAGTTTTAAAGTATTCCTATGCTTTGGATTCGTGTAGGAATTGATGTTACATGGCATCTCAATTGCTGCAGTCATCCTATGTTTTTGAATTCCTGCGTTCTCAATGGGCCTTAAATTTTATTTACACAGGGATATAAAGATATTTTACATAAAAATTATGAATGGGTGGTGATAAATGATCAAATTTCATAAATTATCACTACTATCGAATTTACTAGAGTTTAATTATTTACTTCTCTTCATCACTTGAAAAGGAATCTGGTAGGTCCAAGACAAGGGAGGAGCTGCTAGCTGAAGAACGGGATTACAAGAGAAGAAGAATGTCTTACCGTGGGAAGAAAATGAAGCGAAATCCAACAGAGGTACATTTTAAATTTCAAATTTGCAAGTAATTTCATTTCTCTTAAGTTATCCTAAAAGTTGTCACGGCATAAGTTCCTGAGGGGATAGTTGATAGTGGTGGCTGGTGGGAGGTCGGGGACCGGAAGGTTGCATTTGGGTGCTGTGTGTAACGACCCTGCTATGGATCGAACATGAGGGAATGGATTGGTAGGTGAGAAGAGGGTGATCGAGAGGTAGGAGGAGTAGGTGAGTGCAGAGAGAGAGAGAGAGAGAGAGAGGTGAGAGTGTTTCAGACTTTTCTTCATACATGAACACTTGTACAGCAACCCTGACACAGTAAATAGACCATCCAGTTGGCTTGGGGCCACGCTGTCAAGCACACGCTAGCGACCACTAGTTCTCCTCTTCTGCTCGCGGGTCCCGCTCTTCTTCTTCACCACGCCTAGCCTCATCCTGGTTCTGCTGCAGCTGAACCCCTCTGTCCGCCTCCACTTCAGGCGTATCTTGGTTGGCTGAAGGGGGGTGCATGGCATTTGCCCTTCCTTGGGATGGATCTCCGCTGTCGAGGTCCATTCCCGGGAAATGTTGCTGGAGCACGTGATAGTCTTCCCAGGTCGCGCTCGCTACGACAGAGTGGCCCAGTGAACGAGCACCCGCGGAATAGCCGCGTTACCTTTCTTGACGTGACGACGCTCAAGAATTGCTTGTGGCTGCAGGTCACCGATCGTGAGGTCGGGAGGTGCAGGTAGTTTGCTGAAGACCAAGTGTGATCCACCTTAAAGGGTTGGAGCTGCGAAACATGGAAAACCGGATGGATCTTGCTGCCCGGCGGTGAGTCGAGCTTGTAGGCAAGAGAACCGACGCGAGGGAGGATCTTGTATGGACTGAAAAACTTATAGGCGAGATTCAGGAATGGCCTGCTGATGACAGACGATAGAACGTAGGGCTGCAGCTTCAATAGAACTTGGTCCCCAACCATGAATTCGCCCTTCGTGTGCTTGCGGTTCGCCTGATGCTTCATGCAGTGTTGAGCGTGGAGATGGGACTTGAGCATGTTGGTGGATTGTCGGTGCTTCCCCGCGAGACCTTGTAGAGAGCCCATCGTCTTGTCGTAGAGTGATTGGCGTACAACCGGTCGTACTATGGTGTCCGGAGTTGTACCAAAACTCAAGCGGCGAGGGTGTCGTGGACGGCGCAGCCTCAGGTAGTATTCGACACAGTGGTTGACGTGCTCGCTCTGGTTGTCCTGTGGATGGTAAGCCGTGGTGTAGAGCAGCTTTGTGCCCACAAGCGCGAACAACTCTTGCCCGAAGGAACTGGTGAAGATCTTGTTCGAGACAATGGAGTCTGGGACGTCGCGGAGCTGATGAAGTTGTCCAAGGAGGCGTACGTGACTTGTGGAGCAGTGAAGGGATGATGTAGCAGGATGAAGTGGGTGTGTACTTGGACATCTGGTCGACGACCACCAGGATGATGATGGCGCCGCCGAGCGCGACAATCCTTCAATGAAGTCCAAGGTAACTTCGCCCCATATGCGTGCCGGAATCGGCAGCAGTTGTAGTGTGCCCGTCGGGTGAGCGTGCTCGTGCTTCGTCTGTTGGCAAACGGCGCATTGTTTGACAAATTCCTCGACGTGGACCTTCATGCCAGCCAGAAGAACAGATTCTTGAGGTGCAGGTGAGTGGCGCGAATGCCAGAATGGCCACCCACGGTGGAGGCGTGGAGCTTGGTGATGAGCTTCATCTGCAGCGCAACATTGTCACCAATTGGCAGCCTGTCGTGGTACTTATCACGCCGCGATCCAGTTCATGGCCCTAGTCATCTTGGTTGCGAACTGCCAGTGCTCAGAGGCCTTCATGTCACTTGCATAAGGGTTGCGTACCTCCTGGATCCACGAGGGTTGGCAAGATGAGGTTGTTGTTATGATGAGTAGATGGCCACATGCAATAGAGAATCTACCGCCGTGTTCTCTGCCTCGCGCCGGCACTTGAAGCTGAACTGCAAGCCACCTAGTTTGGCTATGGCTTTGCGCTCAAGAACGAACCCCAGCTATTGCTCGCCGGGTGTGCATAGACTTGTCGTTGGTCCACATGTTGAATTGGACGCGTTGAAGGTAGCGTCGACAATGATCCACCACCATCATCACCGCCAAAAATTCTTTCTAGTTGACTAAGAGCTTGCGGTTGTTCACATCGAGCACGCGGCTGATGGCCTTGTTGCATCAAGACAACATTGATTCCAGTGTCCCAGGCGTTTGTCTTAACGGTGAATGGCAGCGAAAAATCCGGCAGGGCCAACACCGGGGTAGTAGTCATTGCCTGCTTCAGTTACTGGATAGTTGTTGTGGCTTTTGACCACTGAAATCATTTTTTCTGAGGAGCAATTCCAGGGACTTGGTGATCACACTATAATTGTGCATGAATTTGCGATCATAATCGGTAAGGTCGAGAAAGGCCCGCGGCTCCTTCGGAAAGGATGGTTGGGGCTAGCGGTGGATGGCTGATTTCTCCAGTTCAGTGGCAACGCCAGTAGTCGAGATGACGTGGCCGAGGTAGTGGATGGAGAGCCACGTGAACGAGCATTTGGAGCACTTGGCGTAGAGCTGATGTTGGGGCAGTGTCGATCATCTGACGAAGATGGCCAAAGTGCTCGTCGAAAGAGGCGTTGTGCGTCAGGATATCATCCAAGAAGACGATGACGAATTTGTGCGTCACGAGAGCGAAGACATAGTTCATGGGGCACTAGAAGGTTGCTGGAGCATTCATGAGGCCGAACGACATCACCGAAATTGGAAGTGGCCATGGTCGGTCTTGAACGCCGGCTCGGCCTCGTCGCCTGGGCACGTGCGTATCTGATGATACTTGGCACGAAGGTCGACCTTGGAGAAATAGCGCTCACCGGCCAATTCGTTAAGGAGCTCGTTGACGATCGGCATCAGAAACTTTTTCTTCACGGTAATGTGTTGAGGCAGCGGTAGTCGATGCAGAACCGCCAGGTATCGTCCTTCTTGACGAGGAACACCAAAGCAGCAAACGGCTGACGCTTGATCTCGTCGTTCGTGAGTGGTGAATAGCGGTACGAGAGTGTGTTGGGTGGCGGAGCCTCGGCTCAAGCAGAATTGCGTGATCGAACACGCGATGTGGCAGCAGCGTCTTGGGCTCTTGGAAGACATCATCGTAGTCGTCCACAAGAGCTTGCAAAGGCGGTGGTAGTGGTGCGTCTTGGTCGGCGAGGTGAGTCGAGTCGACGATCGCAAGCGCCCACACCTCGTTTCCTTGCGGCCATTTGCAGAGCTGCTCGACGTGAATCTCCGTGAGGGCAGGCGCTAGGAGTGGGCACACCTTGTAGTTTGATGTTGTTGTCATGGCGGAACTCCATGGTCTTGAGGCTTCGGTGACGGTTCATCGGGCTGAATTGGGCTAGCTAGTACACGTCGAGAACTGCATCGTAGACGCCCAGCTCAGGAAGACGCATGTCGGTGGTGAACTTGTGGACTGCAGCGTGTCGCCGTTCGTGTCAAAGGTCACCGGGATGGCGTCTTGCACGGCACACCCCCTGTGCTCGGCGAAGGTGACGTTGACGAACGTGTGGGTGTTGTTGCCGAAGTGGATGAGAGAAGTAGCATGACCTGGTTACCCACCAGAGCCCACACTGTATCGTGCCTGTCAGTGCCTGTCAGTGCCCACGACAACGTGTACAAAGACTCGAGGGCATGGATTGCGTCGTCAAGCAGGAGCTTCCCGTAGTCACCATCCTTGATGGTTAGGAGCTGGCCGATGTGGTTGTACTTGCTGTACTTGTCGCCGCACTTGAAACACATGTCGTTGGTTCGCCCAAACTCCCAAAGTTGCCGCTTGTGGCCAAAGTCGCCAGGCCTCGTTTGGCGCCATAAATTCATGGCTGCACCGGCCCAACCGTGACCACTGGCATCGATGGTGGAGGCGGAACACGCGCGAACACCAGAGGGCGACCCCGTGGACGATTGTGCTCCGCTTCCTCCTCCTGGATGCGTGATGCGTGGCAGCCGCTCTCGACTCACTTGTTGGTGCATGCTGATGAACACCCATGCGTGCCTCGTCACGCAAACCATTGACGAACTGAGAGACGAAGAATTTTTGATTCAAGGTTGGATCCAGCATGACGAACTCCGCGATGGTACATAAACAATTCGAAGGCCGTGCGGTAGTCAGTGATGGTGCCCATCTGCTTGAGGTGGTGCAGACGGTGGAGGAGGCCGTCGAACTCGTCCTGGCCGAACTCAGCGTGCATTGCCGCGATGAACGTGGCAAGTCGCCGAGTTGGTGGAGACACTTGTACGCTTGGCACCACAGCATAACGTGGCCTTCCATGCACAAAACGGTGGTGGTCACCCACTGCTCCGGTGGCGTTTGGTAGAGGTCGAAGTAGGTGCGACAGAGGTCGAGCCAGTGGCGCGTCGCGCGTGAAGCGCGGGAAATCGTGCTTCGGTGGCTTGTGGCGGTAGTGGTCGCGCGACAACGGTGGAAGGGGAGTGGTGGCGGTCGTTGTGTCCCCGGGGCTGCTCTTGGTGCTCGATGCGACGCTCGGGCACGGTGGGTGGACGTTGGGGTAGGTCGAGGAGAGGCGGCCCATGGTAGGTGAGGACCGCGGTCCCGACCGCTGTCGATGCTGCAGTGCGAGTCGCCACCTCGTAGGTCGCCTGCTGGCGCTTGACTGTGTCAAGGCCCTTGCCGAAATCCGCCAATTGAGTGCCTAGTTGTTGGACTTCGGTGGAGAGGGACGAAATTTTTTGGAGCAGCTCCTCCAGAGTTTTTTGCGCCCCTTCCATGGCCTGCAACACGAATTTCGTCTTTGCAGAAGGCATGGCTTGCGGCGTCGTTGCAGACGTCTCGAATCGAGCCTACCCTGCTTGGGATTTTGTGTCTAGTCGCCGGAGCAACCGGACATCCTTCACAGTGGATTTTACGGCCGATCAGAGGGATGTGGCGCAGCGGTGGAACAGGAGGGGATCGAGAGGTATGAGAATGAGTTGGTGAGAGCGTTTCAGACTTTTCTTCATACATGAACAGTGTACAGCAACCCTGTTACATTAAATAGACCAGCCAGTTGGCTTGGGGCCCCACTGTCATACGCACACGCTAGCGACTAGTTCTCCTCTTCTGCTGGTGGGTCCCGGTCTTCTTCACGCGTAGCCTCGACCTGGTTCTGCTGCAGCTGAACCCCTCTGCCCGCCTCCACTTCAGGCGTATCTTGGTTGGCTGAAGGGGAGTGTGTGACACCGTGATGTCAAGGGGAGATAAGGCTGAGGAGGACCCTCCCTTTTCTGTTTATATGTTTACTGCTTGTTTTTCTCAATACTAGTCTGGGATATAATATAGCCTGCGGTTTACATCACCTAGAAACTAAAGACTCTTTAAACTGACTCGGACCTGAACACGGTAGGGAAACCTTCTACGGAACAAAAAAAAAACCATCATACTCAAATCAGACTTCCTAAGACTTAAACTTGCCGGGTATAGTGCTGAGCCCACATGGAACATATTAAATCTTTGAGTAGATTGTATGCATGTTAATTTTTTGAGGTGGAAAATTACTCATATATATGTTATAATCAGAGAAATACTTCTCCCAAACCATCCCCAAAATGTAAATTCTATTTGACCTTTCTTCTGAATGAAAGACATACTCAGAGGTCAGAGCCATTGGAGGTCTTCACTGTCATGGTTAGACTTGTCTCTTGTTCATCTGTTCTCATGTAATATGACAAAGTCTAAATAAAAGGAAGAACGATACACAATAGAAAAATATAACTTTTCAAAAATCAATTTAACTAGCTTATATATACTTTGTTTGCTTAAAAAATAAATCAGAAAAAACCAATCCCACCTTGTATCACAGCAGACCACCTCTCCCCCTGTTGCTTTTCTTTTTATAACGTCAAGCAACAACAAAAATAATGTTTTTTTTGGGTGCCAACACTTTATTGATTAACTCAGACATTAAGAGGGATACAAGCTGGGTCATGCGGGGAGAAAATCTACAAGTGGCGACCCTGATCAAGCAACAGAGAGTGTTTGGCAAGGTTGTGTGCATCAACATTCAATGCTCTACTTTTCATAAATGAAACTACAGCTACTAAAATTTGATCTACGAAGCAATATTTCTCTAATCACTGTCAAATGAGCTCCTCCCTTTCCATCATGTATGTCATCAACTACTGGCTTGCAATCACACGCCACCATGAAGCTCTGAAGAGATAGATCTTCTGCTAGTGCAAGTGCCTCGCGACAGGCTATGGCCTCCAAGACAGCCGGATCAGTAATTCCGGGAACCACCAATGCCGAAGAACCCAGATACAATCCGTTATGATCTCTACATACTGCTGCCGCTGCTCCTACCCATTAGTGTCGGAAAGCCCACAGTCCACATTGATTTTCATCTGCCCCATCGGGGGTGGCCTCCAAGCTCCAGCTCGGCTGACCAGCCAAGCGTATAGGTGTATTGTTCGTCGATGCGCGGGGCAACGCATTGATAATATCCAGCTCAGAAATAAAGTGTTTCACGAAGCTATGCATCGCGAAATTTTGTATCTATCGATGCACGGGACTAACACGGAGTAGATTTAACATTGAAATTTTGTTGTGTGCAACATTATTCACTGTTTGGGTACGCCTGACAGGGAATGTCATCCCACTATAATGTCCTATTTGTATCTGATTAGGTCCAAAATTTTTGTTTTCCCTAAATTTTCTGTTTTAAGTTAGTTTCATTTTTTAAGCTTAATCAATCTTACATGTTGATGGAACCTTTGTGCATGCTGCATACCCTCTTGCTAAATTAATTTCTGAAACTTGTCTGGACCAAGATATGGGTCTCATGTTTGACACATTTCAATTTCTTTTCTATATCTTGAAGATATTAAGAGACATAATTGATGAGCACATGGCGGAAATAAAACAAGCAGGTCTGGGGGAACCTCCTGGTGACATTGCACAAAATATACTTGAGACCAATTCTAATGGAGGCGCTTACCAAGGAAGCTCTTGTGATAAGGCTATTTTGGGTTCTCGATTACGTAGTCGTGAGAACTCACCACATACTGCATCAAGGAGCCATGACACAAGGGATTCATATATGAACATAAGATATGAAAATAGTGGACACCGTCACCAAAATGTATCTGAGCATGAGAAAGGAGGGATCAGAGAATCAGGAAATGCAATGAATCGAGGCTATTCTGACCGGCATGATTACACACATAAAAGAAACACCAATGATCATAGGAAATATGGTAATAAGTATAAAAAGAACATCCCAGATTACCATTCTGAATCAAGTGATCGTTCAGCATGGTCCACACGAACACCAAAATCCTCGGAAAGAGAATATGGCGGCATGCCAGGAGATAAAAGCAATGATAGAACCAGAACTACTCAGAACAGACATGGATCAATACCTGGGAATAAAGACCAGTTCAGTGATAGATATGATCCCCAAAGCAGATATTCTGATGAGGATCCTCGTGAAGCATACCATGATGCGTGATCTGAATTACTGAAAAACAGAGTACATTTTCCTGTTGATCTCAGGTATGCTTACTCATTTGCAATATTTTTAGTTCTTTTTATTGTCTGGCACTTAATTTTACACAGCTGTTTGACATGATCTTGCAGTATACTGTGTAATACAGGCATCTGGGTTAATACCGTCAGCTGTATCCTTTTTCTGTATCCTTATGCAGAAAATGCTTTACTATTTCTGCTGTGGTTGTAGTGACAGTCTGTTACAGTTCCTGAATATGAGAAATTGTTAATTGTTAGTGCATTTTCTTGCTTATAAATTACATTCGTCTCACCAATCAAATTTCCATCTAATTTTAACTAATCAAAAATATCGGAACATCATGTAGGGTGCATATGTTTCCCGTTCACAACCGATCTTTTAAAAGGACTAACTGTTAGTTTCGAAGCATGCATTCGTAATAACTTCGCTATGGAATTCTATCCTTTTTAGTTAGGGTACCCTTTTAGTTTTGAACTGGCAGGAATTTCAGTTGACTACCTTTGCCTGGAAAGGGCATGGCTGGAATAAATTTTCTTCACCTATCTGCTTGCATTGCATCTCATGCAGATGCTACTCATGCATAATTATTGGTTCGTGTTATTTTTTGTGGGCCTAGTTTTTCTACAATGAGTTCTGTAAGCGAAGGCCAATCTTAAGCGCCACAACCCAGTAGTTGTGACTTGTATTGTCCTATTTTGTGGACTGTGTTTTGCTCTACTGTTAGATAGTGTTAAAATGGATTTCCATACATATCAAGTACTTACACATAAGAAAGTGATGTAGGTAGTACTGAAGTAGGGTTCTGCATCTGCCAAGATGTAGCCAGGTACAGCCTATCCATCATGATAGAGACGCATGAGATACATTTTAAAAATTATTTTCGGTAATGGATGATACTTAATATGTCATAAAAATAATTAGGTGCCCTCCGGTGTTCAAGCTTGATGAAGCAGCACTTACACAATCATTCCCAGTGGTGGATGTGAAGAACACATGTTTTGGCTTTGCTGTTTGTACTTCTTTAGCTTTGCAACATGGAGGAGCACGCTTGAGTGTCTGCTCCCTTCGACGGGGAAGACAGTGGCCTCAATTAGGTTAACTCCCGCACCTCATGTTGGGCCGGGCTGTACCTGGATGTGTCTACAATGTGTACACAAATTTCCCACGGGCAATGATATTTGTTTTAATTGTTTATTCACCCCATACTCACGTATATGAGTGTTTGTGCTGGGTATTATGTATTGGATATGGTTACAGCCATCAAGGTCGTACTACCTTGAACTGACAAAATTTAACCAACCTGATGTTTATCATTTTTACCAGCTTCCACCACAAGTCCTCTTCACTGATAAGTTCTAAAATGGAATCATTCAATCAAAGATGTAACGTTCCTTGGAAAAGATGGCAGGACCCCACCATTTCCATAAACAAACAAACTTAATATATGTATTACATTACTTTATTTGTATGTTTTTATAGCAACTGCTTGCTTACATAAAATGGCGAGTCTTCATCGGATATATTTAAATCTTTGTTCAGGATGCTGTTCATATGTTTATATATTAACTAAAAGTTGCATCTTTGTTGCCCGTTTGTTTGTGGTATTTCTGTAGTGAGACCCTGAAAAGCCTGAGGAGAAGAATTTTATTGCACTTTGCATCAACATGTGAATAAAACCTGAAAGCCACATAGAAGTAAACCATTTTCTTGATTTACCTTGCATGTTACTCCCTCTGTCCCATAATATAAGATGTTATTACAACCGATAGCGAGGGAGTGATTTTGAGGATTAAAGACATTACACACTTCGGATCAAGATGCAATTGCATATTGTTGGACCTTCCGTATCCATTACTTCATGTGGAATCAGGAAAAGGCTGTTAATACTGACAGAACTGATGTACATTTAGAATTCTCAGAAGCCTGTGAGAATCGCTGATGGCATTTATGCAAAACCTTCTTAAATGCACACCAGAAATCAGTTCTGTACTTATATTCTCAGAAGTCCGTTGGCGAATTGCTTTGATACGTAATTAGTTTTACTTTCTAAACAGAACTTTGATCTGTTGGCATTATGTTCTCGTACTGACATACTTTAGTTTTTCATCACTTTATTGTAGGTATCTGAGCTGGATGTTGAAGTTTGATGAACTACTTAGACAACAATAATTTTGATAGGTAGTTAGTTCGACTAAGTTCTGTTTAGCTCATCGCAATCACGGAGTTTTACCCCTTTGGCGTGCAACAGCCATCCTGCTGGTAAGGTGTTTCCTAGAGCACAAAACCTTCCTTCGCCAATCGGAGTTCAACACATGGTTTGTTCGAGAAATTTGTTTACGTCAGTATTTTGCTCACTGAGGAGAGCATGTATGGGTAAATTTTGCATTTTGTTAGTTTGTGATACACTAAAAAAAAAAAAGGTTCCGAATTGGCAGTGCACCCGTTTTCACAAACATTGTATTCCTAGATTTCTAAAGTACTGCACCCCATCTTCTCGTCTGGAACTGTTTTCTTCTCGCTGCTGGAGCTGGTACGAGCCCCGGTCGTACTGCACCCCATCTTCCGTTCTGGAGCTACACGATTTGGTGACAAAAATTGCCCTCCCTCCTCGTGTTAATTAGATACTGTATTTTTGCAAAAAATATACAAGGAGGTGTGCAGCAAAATTGAGACAATCGTTACGCTATTTTTATTTACCTTTCGAAGTAATAAGTACTCACTTTCAAGCGAGAGATGATGCACTGAGCATGGTGAACATGTCTTCTCATATATCTGCAACGAGAGGGTTAGATTGTTACAATTTCTCTAAAATCTTACCTTGACTATTGTTGTCGGTGAACACTTCATAATATTCTTTTGAAACTGGTGGTTCACCCATCTCTAATAGGACTCCTTGCACTATATTGGTATGGCAAGGAACAAATGGAGGCATATAAGGGTTTCAGTCTAGCTCATCATTATTAATGCTATCATGGAGATTATCTAAGTAATGAATAATGATAATTTGAATCAAAGTACTGCGGAGAGCGGCCCCTTATATCTTGCGCTGCACATCCACGTACCTCAAATGTGGATTCTGATATTCATGCGCGTGGACCATACGATACAAATTGTCCGAATTCAATAGTTTGAAACAAAGGAAAGGAAATCATAATTCAACAAACCGGACATGCCAAAATGAAATCCATGTCTGAGTGTGACGGATGACTCGCTTGCCGGATCATTGGCCGGACGTCATCCATGCCGCCTGCTCCAAAGCCATGCTTGCATCTTGTTTTGCCTGCATCTGGGCTGCTTGCTCCTCATGCATCCGGGCTGCTCGTCCATGTCCGCACCACCCTACACCGCCGTTGCTTCCCTCTCTCGCTGTCGACGTCGCCGCATCTTCCGGGCGATGTTCTCTGCCTTGCACGACGGAGCAGAGGAAGGGACGTCGACGGGCAAGGTGGACATAGTCTCCGTCATGGCGGTCAGCGACGGGCTGGACGACATCTAGGACGGCGGATCGGGACCGGTGGTAAGGATGGGAGCAAGATGGCAGACGGCGAAAGCTCGAGCGAGGGAAAGGTAGGAGGGCGGCGGGAGGAGGAGGAAGGGTTTGATGCAAACTGCTATCAGGTCCGCATCATATTTGGGCTAGATACGAGGGATGCCGGTCAGCCAAATGTTTGAGGCCCGTTTAAGGAGCCAGTCTGGATTGGATTTTTGTGACCGAGCAGTCCACCCGAACGTTTGAGGCGGGTTTGGGACACCTGACTAAATTTAGTATTAAAGTGTGTCAAAACATGTTAACTACTCCCTCCGTCCGCCAATAAGTGTATATCTAGCTTTTATTTTAAGTCAAAGTTTTAAAATTTTGACCAACATTATAGAAGAGAATAGTAGCATACATGACATCAGATTGATACATTATGAAACTATATTTCAAAACGAATCTAATGATACTAATGATCAAAGTTTTAAAACTTTGACTTAGGACAAAAACTAGATGTACACTTATTCACGGACGGAGGGAGTATGAAGGAAGAATGGGCTTGCTTTGGCTAATTTGATTGGCTAGGAATCCAACTCGTCAGAAATCAACAGACTAGTGCAGAGCGTTTTACAACGGTAGGAAGGTTGAATTCACACATTGTCCAAGACGGGCGAATGCAGCAACACATTCTTCTCGCATACCTTGTAACTGGATGGCTTTATCATGAGTGTAATTGTGAATGCTGTAACCATGTTTTCCAATCAATAAAACCAGCCACAATGACGTTCCCTTGAAAAACAAAACTATATTGGCTTACGAGTAGTAAAAGGTGTCGAGTCCAAATTAGTTTGTTGTTTAACACTAGCATAGCAGATGTACACCACTACACAGGAGGTCTTAAATATCCTAGCTTGAGTTCACGAGTTTTCATTAGTTGATATATGAATTCTTTGAATTCCAACACCGCAGCTTCAGTTTCATGGAAACATTGTATGTCTTGCAGACTTGCTCATTCAGCAAGGAGGGCCAAGGTACATTGGAAAATCGCAACCAAAACTCCTAATTTCCTCACCCGACCAAAATTCCTACCCATTTGAACTGAAACAACGACACTTATTTCGGACCAGAGGGAGTAATATCTTGCCGCCAACTACGATCGGTAAGTGTACTTGGGACACTACTTCACGGTATAGACATTTACTCAGCAGGCGTTAGGACTTTATTGGCATCTTTCTCAGAAACAGCACCGTAAAAGCATATTCTTGTGTCGCCTCCTCTAACCTTCTCATCTAGATATCCCTTGTACAGGTCCCAAAACTCGTTGCTGCATCAAAAGTGATACGAAAATATAATAAGATGGAGATGGCACTGGTTGCATGTAGCATTTCTGAATGTCCAAAGTTGTTGACGTAAGTGGTACCTGACTTGCGGTAGCGTAAACAAATTAAATGACTTTGGGTCCCTCTGCATGTCGAGTACCACTAATTTCACGCGTGACAGCGATAAA